TTTCAGTCGTGGAAAAGTCGGCTTCAACGAATCCGGATATTTCAGAAAAATTTTATACAGCAACAGGACGCTTCTCTTGCGCACATATGGACGACTTGAAGAAAGCTGAAAAAACGATGATGAAAAGAAATTCAGAAAATGCAAAATACGCAACATTATTGCTACTATTATCAAATTTATCATTATTTTTATTACAATTACCGTTTTAACTACTTATTATTATTACCATCATTATTATTATCGTAATTATATATTTTCCATTATTATTATTGTTATTATTATCATTATTATTGTTATTTTTATTATTTCTATTAACAGTGCTATCTTATTAGCATTATTAGCTTATAACCAAATGGCTAAATGGTGCCTTTTGGGCTTACACGGAGCCGAAAAACACTTTACACATTACATGTTTATCGGTCTGTGTAAGCTCAAAAAGCACTATTTTTTCATACATATTAAAACTTTATTTGCACAAATTTCACATTTTTTGGTGCAAAATAACCGTGTCAGGAGAAAAACAGGAAGCCGCATACACACGCGCATACACACATGAATAAATCCACAACCCGTTTTTGCCGCCTCAGCCTTGCTGAAGTGCAGAAACCGCGCCTGGTGTTTCCATAACTCAAAAGAGATTGGTAAGGTGTAAGAATTTAAGTGAATGCTTCTATGTGGAGGACACTGCTACCTAAAAACAAAAGTAACATTCGGTAATAGTATGTTTGGGTGTAAAGTGAGCGGCGACAGAACCGCAGATGGTGCAGTGACGGAATTTGCTTAAGGTCCTTGAATTCGAGTCGTAGGTCGATTGAGTATTTATACGTGGCTGCTTGATGCTGGGCGCGGCTGCCTCTTGGTGGACGTTTGGACAACTGTTATTTTGATTATCGGTTGGCCAGGCTCTGCAGCAGCGATGCATCGTCGAGACGAGTGTTTGTGATGTTCGGCGGTTATGACGAAAGAACAATACAATCATAACAATAATGACCCCCATTGGGGAAAATTGCTTTTATATTGTCTACGGTCGGACAAGCGGGTAGCACTAGCCAACCACACAGGCCCAACATGATTCGCCAAGGATCATGCCTCAGTGACCAAGGAAGCGTTATCGCTTTCGCGACAGATGCTGCCAGTAAAAGCAAGGACGCATGGACAAAAGTACTTGGCTCAAGCTAGCCATGCTTTGCATTACAAGAGGCAAACGCATGGCTGAGAGACCACACGTAAAATGTTGTTCCTTTGTACCCGTTTGTATGCATATCCAGTTTTTGGACCCAATCAAAGAAAGACGTACGAGATTAACAACATCACTGGCGAGATCTCGTGCCAAATCGAGCGTTACGAAGCAGGAGAATGCCCCCAGAGCGATACCCGTCTCATAGATCACAGTGCTGTGCAGATCTTTTCGGATCAGATTTGTTGCAAGCATCAGAACATCGGTGCCATCGTAGAAGCACTGCGATGCTGCCATGTAGCTGAAGAAAAATAATTCTTGCTGCAACGCAAGCAGTGCATTCTTTTTTAAATTTACAGGACAGAAACAAAAGGGCTGAGCATCTACTTGCAGCCAGTAAGATCGAAACTACTCGATTCAAGGAAATAAGCAGCTGCTGAGCGTACCAATCTAATTTATTGCAAAAACCGATGATGGGTGCAGTCACAAGAAATTCTGTTACAAAAATTGTAAAAATGAAGCAGATTGCAGTAACCAGAACTGTTTCGTTCGAATTTTTTTGACCCACTCAATAGATCAACGTATGTTTATTCAGGAGGAGGGGAGAGGGAAGCGCCAAAATTGAAAAAAATATTAATTTATTAGGAGAAAATATTGGATTTCAATGCACTTCTACCTCCCCTCCCCTTTTCTCTTCTTTCCCCGCTCCTTCCCTAAACAATTTTCTCAGCCTGTTACGAGCTGCTGCATCTGCATATCACTCCAGAACCCTAAAAAGCAGAATATTTTGAAGATACATAGCGGATCTCAAAAATCTTCAAAAAAAGTATAGAAAAAACCTGGTGTCAGTAATACCAGTTATTTTCAACGTGATTCTCACTTACCCGATTCGTTTTTCAGTAAATTTCGGTGAAGCCATTACTTCAATGATATTGAAC